CGGGCGGGCTGCCCGCCCCCCGGGCCAGGCCAGGCCGGGCCTCTGTCGGAGTCAGGAGCAAGAAAGTCTAGAGCGCTCGGAGAAACATCCACAAGAAAAGATTTTTTCGGGTGCCTGACAGCGTCGCCGGGTATCCGTTAGCGCGACGAAAACGTTTAATCGCTGCAACGGCCACCGTGGTCATACCCAGAGTCTACCCCGCGGCGCTAAGTTGCGGGGCTGCGCTGGCGGTAAGTAGTGTGCTCCGGCACAGCCAGGGCAGGGTTGTTGCCTGCGCTAGCATCAATCTTATGCTTGCGCTATCCGACTATGAAAAAGAAAATGTAATTGGGCATTTTTTACGTAGTGTAGCCTAGTTAATAGTCAGACTCGGGTTCTGTAAGGTCAGTTCAGTCCTCAAAAGAGCGGTACTAGCAGGACTGGCCTCACTGTGGTGGTTAACTCCTTATATTCAGTGAATGTGTTTTTGCTCTTGAAACACACATGGAGCTCTCTATGTTAGTAATGGAAGTGTTAGCCAGAAGAAACTTTGCTAGCAACAGGTTAGAGGCCCTGACATCTCCTCCCCAGGGACATCCGTCTATCTGGTGAAACTTTAAACTTTGCTGTGTTCAAGTCTCTTGCTGATGAATCCAGACTTGAAGAATAATGACCGTTACAAGATTAAGTACTATCTATAATGGTGAAGGAGATTGCTAACACCTCTTCAGCAAGACAGGTATAAATTGGTATGAACTTGCGTCGCAAATGATGAAGGTTCTCTTTTCTAACCTGAAGTTAACTGTAATAACTCATTGTTGGTGACGGGTGTCAGATTTCAGCCATTGCAGTCGTCTTTAAAGACTATAGATGGCATTTTTTGTTAAAACTTTGAAAATGTGAATATTTTAAAACAACAGTTTAGAAATGTTAATTTACCTTTTAGCAATATGTGCCAACAGTCAGATAATCCTGTACAAATGGGTGGAGATCCTTTGGCCATAGTCTTCAGAACCACTGTATTTGCTGTCTCATCATTACACAGTAATCTGTAAATGGTCACGTAATACCCACAAGAACTATAACTTCAACTGCTTAATGGTATATAGTGGCACTATTTACGCTGCAAAAGTTGGTTGACTTCATTTAAATCATGTACAAATGGTTTTAAAAAACCTGTCTAGGAGGATGATGTAATAAGAAGGAAGAATTCATTGCACAAAAGCTGTTTGTTTTAATACTCAGCTAGACCACGCTAAAAAGTTATAATCACATGGCAACCTTCCTGTGCTGTATGTGAAGTAGGGTTAGATTCTGTAGGAAAGAGCTGGCCATATCATAACAGACTGCCTTGTGTCCGTAGTCTCTGGAGAGTTATTTAAAAAAAAAAAAAGTAGTCAATGTGCAGAACTAATCAATTAAGACATTTTTCTTCATTTGTTTACAGAGAAATCTGCAATTATGCATAAGACTGCCTGCTTGTGAGAGTTAGAATTCCAAAAGTAAATAACTATCATTAATTATTGGAAATAAATTAGTTTTTAGCTACTCTATTTAGAGTAGTTTGTGAGTATAGTTTTTAGTATAAGAATCTAAACCAAAATTCTGCAGAACGTGAGTCCAAGTTAGGAGTTTGGGGATCTACCTGTATTTGGAACAGCTAGTCAAAGCAGCCAAATGCACTGTGCTTTTCACATGTGTTAGGAGTTGGGGGGAAGTGGTGTGCTTTGGGGGCAGAGTGTACTGACTTGATGGAAATGCACAGTGTGAGAGTTGCGAAGTAGTAATATGTCAAATATGCTAGTACTTTTTCCACTTTCCCTCAGAAAGGAAGAGATAACATGAGCTACATCAGAATGTACTGAAGAAGTTGGTGATTAGTTATTTGGTGGGGGGAGTAGATTTTTGCCTTTTGACTCAGTTATTTTTTTCCTCTCATTTTTAAGTGGTTAGGAATGAATGCTCAGAACTTGTATTCACAGAACAGTCTTACTGTATTATATCTTAAACATTGTGATATCCACTTTTACATATGGTCGGGTTTTTCTGGCTTCCATACTTGTCAGTTCATACAAGCAGCTAATGTTATTATGGGATCTCTGAACTGATGTTAGTTGTCACAGGAAATTGCAATTCAATTGTTTGTCTGATGATACAAAAAATAGGTATCCACACAGATATAAAATACTTGGCTGAAAAGTGAAGCAAAGCAGTGGCTTATGAAGGACCTCTGTCTGCGACAGGTATCAGTTTGTACCTTTACTTAGCTCACGGGTAGCAATTCTTAAGTTGTTTAAGTGGGAACCTAGAGCTCTGGAACAACTAGAGCGTTGGTGCAATAAGTAGTTAATTAGCTTGCTGAGACTTAGTCGTAATGCCTTATTATGTTTAAGGAGATCCATGATCAGAATCCTAGTTGGGTGGATTTTGCATCTGTGGATGCGCAAAAAATGCGACTGCGAGGTAGGATCTTAATTTTCCCTTCAGTAATGATGCCTTAAAGGCATTAATGATGTGGCGCAATGGAATAGGCAGGCAGTAAAGGACAATGGTCAGATGCGTTTTGGAATATTTTGTATTGAATATTTAGTGGTTCATTGCAAATTTGCATTTCCAGCAATGTAGCACGTATGCTATTACTGTCCAACTACATTCAAACTTCAGAATCTCTACATTAAAAAATAGTTTTGCTTTGCTTAGAATTGCTCTTTTCCTTGAAAGAGGACATTGTCCTGAGAAAGAAATGAAACGTAGTACTTGCACTATTGCTAAAATTCTTTGTGAAAGAGGAGAAGAAAACATTTAGTTAAACTAGTTTGAACAAGTTTCAAGTAGAAACTATGAAGGAAGAATCTTCTGCGGTTAAAGGAATGGTGCCATTAGTTCACCTTCTGTCTGTCAGTCCTCCTAATATGCCTGTGAATCATTGTATTTCTGTGCAACTGTAATACAACTATGCAAGAATATGAAAAAATATTTTGTAGGTGCGGGACTGCATTCAAAAAACACTGAATGAATGGAGCTCAAAGATCGGACAAGATCTAAATCAGGTAGGAGATGTGTCGCATCTCATGTGCAGTACGTGTGACCAGCGAAACATTTTTCTCTTCACACCCTAAAAAGTATAAATTAATCTATTAAGTTTCTATTAAAACATCTGCAGCGCCAGATATCTTAAACTATTTCTCAATCCCTCTATTTTATAATATTTAGCAAATTTGAGAATGCTAAGAAATACCAAGTTAGTCTTGTTAATGAGAAATAAAACAATTCTTAGTAAAACAGATTTTCTGGTTAGTAACATTTCAAGCTTATTGTTGGGGCCATCACAAAAAACTAATGTATCTTCCGAGGTTGCTAGTGTGCTTGTAAAAACTCGGTAGAGAGTTTTCTGAACTTTGACTCTTCCATAGAGATGACAAACCAGACAGTTGAAAATTGCCCAGTTTGAGGGGAATTCTCAGTGTAGCTTGGTTGTCTCAGAAATACTCCTGAAGATTCAGAACTAGCAATTTTTCCTTTAAGAGGTAAAGGCTTACAGGTGTTTAATTAAAGCTACGGTCCTGGCCAGATGACATCAAGATCTAGTGTATTTGCCTGCTGCTTTTTCCATGTTATTTCTGAAAATCAGCAAAGCAGTAGTAGGCTTCCACTGAATGCATCATTTGCTCTGTGAGCTATTAACATACTTTATATAAAAATTAACTTTCCTGACAGTTTCTTTTCATTCATGCCAGGTGGTTTTTGGGGAATGGCAGCATAAACTGCTAATTGCCGCATTCCACACTGGAGCGTATGGAGTGATTTGTGGGAGATCAAATGATCACTTGAGGAGATAAATATAAACATTTGTCTGTGTAAGCTATAGCAATCCATTTAAAGTTAATAGTTAGAATAAATTAAATTTTCTCTTAAAACATATTAACTGTGTAATTCCAAATTCTTTTATGAGTTATACTGATTTCTGATAATTCCAAAAGTCTTAACTTTTTTAAAAACATTGAATGCATAGAT